CTGGCTGAAACATGTTCCAATGGCAAGAAGTTGCAAAACAGATAGGTCTTCCTGAGAAAAGAGGGTGCTGGTTACAGAGGCCTGCAGCCATCATCCTTTTTTCAATACATTTTAAACAAGAGGATCTAGTGAGTGATTCTGATTCAATACACATAATCAGTTTGCAAGTCTTATTTCCATTTGAAAACAGGGCCATTTACAATCATAAGAGCCGGACACGCTGAAAGATACGGAGCGCATTAAGAGCAGATGATGGGTGATAGACTCTGTAGGCAAGCACTAAATATTTTCTTCTAGCCCCAGACCTGTACATCTTGTGTGTCTTTAGTCCCAGTGTAACATGAATGGAATATTCCTGTTGGATGCAAAACTTACTCGCTTAAAAACTGGCATTCTGTGATCAGGAAGGGGGGATTGACCAGAAAGATACCATGTTAATTGCGTTTACTGCTGCTGCCAGTTGTGTTTTTAAAAAGGTGTTGCCTAGAAGTAAAGTTCACGCGCTTGAGCCCTGCAGCCCTGTACTTTGTGAAGGATACTATCTAACCCGAGGCTCGGGGCAGAGGGGCAGGGAGGAAGAAAGCACGAGGACAATCCTTGCAATTCCACAGCTCAAGACGTGGGGGCCCTCTGCGGCCTGGTGGCTCCAAATTGGTTGTCAGGGGTCTCAATGAAAAGTACAGAGCCTTTTCATTGAGCCTCTTGAAATCTCTCCTTCAAAACCAAGACAAGCAGCTGCCTGCAGCCTCTGACTTCCTGCCGGCACCCCCTTACCCAGTCCACCCTCCAACTCCTGCCCAAGGCTTTATCTGGTGCACCCGAGGCCGCTGCTACAGCACCTAGCCTCACTTCCCCGACTTCCAGATCACTTCCAGCCCATTACCCTGCCCAACCCCAGCGGATGACTCTCAATCCAGTTGTGAGTTTCGTGCCTCCTGCCGACTCCACCTTAAACCCTTCTGGAAACTACACACACACACTTGGCATGCTCAAGAGTAGAAGCTCCAATGAATTTTGAACCCTAGAGCATATAAATATTATTTCATTGGGTCAGGATACTGATGCAAGGGTTTAACCTGAAAGGATCAAACAACAACACAACAACACTAAAGAAAACCTAAACGAGGGGGCGGGAAAGACTGGGCTGGAGAGATGGTTCAGCAGTTAGAGCACTAGCTGCTCTTCCAGAGGACCCAGGTTCAATTCCCAGCACCCACAAGGCAGCTCACAACTGTATGCCACTCCAGTTTCAGGGGATCCAACACCCTCACATAGACATAGAGACAGGCAAAATACCAATGCACATAAAATAAAAATAAACCATTAAAAATTTAAAAAAGCGAAAGAGAAGAAAACCCAAAACAAGTCACAGCTGTTTGATGGGGGCAGGGGAGAAAAGGACAGTGTTTCATTCAGTTACCAGTGCCTAACTTTCCAGTAGACTGAAACTCTAATAATGGAATGTGTCTCTTGTGCCCTTCATTTCTGTCTCAAATGGAGAATAATTCATGATAATTCGTGAGCCTTAGATTGGTGCCTTCTAAGAAAGTGTAGTTTTAGAATTCTTTGTAAAGTGTTTTCCTCTCTGTGAAGATCTGGGAAGAACCAATAGATTAGGGATGGGGGAGGGTTTCTGCCCCCAGTTTTTTTTTTCAATTTTCTGCAAAACTATCCTAAAATCAAAAAACAAAAACCACCCCAGTATTCTCTTGAACAGACACCAAAAGGTAAGGACCACAGGATCTAAAGACAGCATCCTCACACTTTCTCCATCACCTCCACAGCTCTCTATGTTTTCTTCCCAGAACCTATCTGGTGGATAAGCTACAATCCTCTACGAGAACCATCCACCTTGGGAGGAGGGATGGGGTGGCAGGAAGGGTTCAGACTCCCCAGTACTGCAAACTGGGGCGGGGGGAGAGGGGAGAAAACGACAGAGACCCTACATCTGGGAGGAGGTGAGCGTGAAGCTGGTTCAGCAGAACCTGGGACCCGCTAGAGAGTGGGCTTGGCTGGGTGGGCCATAGGAGCACTGTCTCCTAGAGCCCCGGAGAGCCAGGCAGGCTCTCGGGACAGGAAGCTTCAGCTTCCTAACGCCTTCACAAGGTTACAGCCAACAACTGCAGCTCCAGACGTGGAGGCTGATTTGTGCTTATCCCTCCACACCCTCTTGGGCCAAAGGTACCCGGATCAGAACTTCTAGGCCAAGTCTTTACGTGGTAGACCCCGAGAGAGGAAACCTTGTCCTGCCTTCCCTAGAAGGCCTCCTTGGTTGCCTTCGGTTGAGTCCCCAGGACCCCCTGCAGGGGCATCTTAATTCCTGTATTCATAGCCTGACTGCGACTTTATCATCAGTTTGCTTGTTCCTCGGCCCTCCCCTTATTTTCCGTCTCTCCGGTTCAGTGCCTGTTTTCCCTGCTTTCTTATCCAATTCCGGATTCAGAGCCGCAGTCCTATTTTGTAGGTAATTCAGTGTCATTTTCCTTAATGCCGGTACTAAAACGAAAAGCAGATAAAGTAGATGGGCTAAACTGTAAAGAATAAAAGCCAGCGAGGTCCTCATGGGAGGCCATTTGGGGAGTAAGAAGACCAGTAGAATGGCCAAGGTCTGCCTGTCAGGGGGACACGCAAGAAACATTGACCTCGGAAGCAGAGAGGATCCTCTGTCTAAAGAAATTCAATTAATACCAGTAGCGGGAGGGAGCGGGGGGGGGGCACAGCCTTCCTGTGTCAGCATAGACCCCCCAAGTGGAGGAGGAGCACCTCTATCTGGAATAGTCTGGGAGGGAAGGGGCAACCCTAGAAGGTACTGCCAGGGCGAACCACCTTGCCAGGACTAATTAAAGAGGCCCTGGTTTCAGCCCCAAGCCTTCTTCTCTAGTCCATCTTGTTATTCCCACCTGGCAGCTCTGGGCTCTGTGCCCTGAGGAAGTACACATCGGGTGGGGGGTGGGGCTAGAAGCAAAAGACACAGTTATGGGCAGAGAAAACAGCAGCGGGTTCCTAAAAATATTTTTAAGTTAAAAAGGAAAAGAAAATGGCTTCTGGAAACTTCTATGGAAGCGGACAAAACTTTCCTTGGAGACATGTGCCCCCCCCCCCACTACACCCTACCCAAGCTGGGAGACATGCTTTTGAACTGACTAGAACCTCTTTAGTCCCTGTAAGTTTGGCCAGGAGGAGTCATCATGGGAAAGAGCGAACGACCCAGATGCCTAGGAACAGGGTGGGAAGATTTGGCTGGGTCTAGGACAGGATCCCAGCTCATAACCCTCATTTTGGAGTCTTAAGCTTCCCAGGATGGAAGACCTCGATCCTCTGGGGCTGTGTTTTGGCAAACGCCGCCCCTCTTAAAAACGAAACAAAGCAAACAAACAAGCAAACAAGCAAACAAACAAACAAACAAAATACAGCTAACCAACCACCACCACCAGAAACAACTATCTGTGGCAGCTGGCTCCGCGGGACGCACACAGCCTCGGAGCCCAGAGACTGCCTGGGCCTGCTGGAGGGGCTCTATCCAGCCACAAGGAAGTCTCCACCCCGCTTCGGCTCCCTTAGGGGGCATCTCTGCAGCGCCGGGGCACCCGGACTCTTTCTATTTTAAGGGTCACACACGCTGTGAAGTATTTTAGCTGCATCACAACCTTTTAAATACCCCAGCATGACACTGCCTGCCTGAATAAGGGCCTCATTTGGGTGGTGACCGGCCGATGCGCTCATTTGAGACGCTTGGGCGGCTGTGCAGCACCGGCTGGCTCTGCACCGCCCGGGCCAGCAGGGTGAGTGAGGTCTCCCGGAGGGACCGTGGCGCTGCCGGCCGGTCTGGGAAGGAGGAAGGCGGTCCAGGCTGCGGGCCGTCGGCGGAGAGGTCGTGCGCGTCCGGAGCCCACCAGCCCCGGGCGGCTCCGCCATCGGGCTTTTCCGAAGAAAAACCGGGCTCCGTGCGAACTCCGTCAGCCCGAGGCTGAGGCCTGAGTCCTTCTTCAACACGCGGCTCGCCCTGCTTCCCCGGTTCTTGTTCTCTGATCATTTTGGAGGCAAAGATTTCCATCTTTGGGACGAATTTGTTTCATCTTTCCTAAATTCAGAAACGGAGTCTTCAAAAGTCCTAATGTGTGTGTTTACTTATTTATTTTTTTTTTCTAGCGTTCAAATGAATGCGAAGCCACGGATCGAATCCTGTCACTCATTTGGGGTTAGCGTTTCCCGATATTTCACACGGAAAACAAAACTTGGGTCTCTCTTATTTGTAGTTGTCCTTAACCTTTGCAGCAACTGCTGTAGATGCGGCTCTGGCCATTCTCTAATAGATTTTACCAGGGACGGGTGACAGAGAACTGATTTCTTTTCTATTAGGGTTTAGCACATCTTTGTTGAAGGCCTGTAGAACGACCAGGGATTAGATTTGCATCTCTTAGACGCCCTGTGTGGTCTTTGTGCGAAGCTTGTAACTGTTAAAAATGACTTGTTAGGAAGCGTGTGGGCTCTCAGCGCTCTCCTTTTGACAGAAGGATTGAGAAATTCAGATTGGCCCTGTAGGATTTAGCCTGCAGATTCCACCTGAACCCTAAGCAATTAGACCCTAATCTCACTGCAATCATATTTGAGTTAGGATTTGTTGCACTCTGTTTACTTCAATTAAAAGCAGTGGAATAATTTTTTTTTTCCTTTCAGCTTTTAAAGTGAAGTCTTCAGGAATAAAACCTCAGGACTTTTTAGAAACGGTTTTGGTAGCGATGGGGCTTTTCTTGTGAGCTTTCCTCCTGGCCCTCTTGCCCGTCCCCTCCCCCACTTAAATTATTCTTCTCCTGTTGCTCCCTGTCTTTGCGATCATCTTCCTGGAGGTTGAATTCGGGTCGCGACGGACAGCATCGAGAGGCTCCCAGCAGCGAGAGGCGCCCTTGCAGGGAGAGCACCGGGTTGCGGGGGGGGGGGGGGTGTAGCCGGGGGGGGGGGGACTCGTGGGGGGAGTCCTCACCAAGGCGCTTACACTGGGCTCCACGTGGAGCTTCCCCGCCGGTGCGCGCCCAAATCCTGCTGCCTGCGTAGGCTCCGGGCAGGCAGTAGGCACCCAGGGCAGTAGGCACCCACCCGCCAACGCGTCGGTCCTCTTGCGGTGGATCCGGGCAAGGTCGGTGTAGCACGGTGGAGGCCCAGTTCTCACTGTCCGGGAGCCTGGTGGGATGCTGCCTTCTGACCAGTCCGGCTGTCCTCCCTCCCCACGCCCCAGGGAGAGCTTCCTCTGTTGTTGGGACTTGGATTTAGCTCAGGGCCTAAGGCCCTCCTGCGCAGAGTTGGCCAGCCCAGGGAGACAGACGTGCAGTGGTCTTCTCTTGGCCAGGTACTCTTTTGCACTGGTATTGGCTAGGCTGTCTTCTGCCCTGGGTCTCCCTAAAGCCAATGACCCTCCAGAACTGAGCCCTCGATTCTGATCGCCAGACTCCAGAGGTCCAAAGCCAGGCCTGTCTAGGTGATGCCTCCAACTAGGGCGGAGGGGGGCTGGTCACTCAACCCTTCTGAACCTTGGTCACTTAGTCCTTAGGCAGCTCCAAGGAGCAGCCTGTAGTCGTTACTGTCAAGTCAGCAGCAACCGGGATTTGTGGAGAGTTTATGACCTTCATTGTTTTAATCCAGGAGACTGTCACTTTGATCAGCTCAGAACATTTCTTCACTTGGGAGCTAGCAAGGACTCCGGAGTTCCTGCTTCTTCCATTTTGATTCCTGACTCACCCTCTCCTAGTTCATCTGATTCCGTTCCTCAAATTACCTTTCCAGCGAATACTACAGACAGTCAGCACAGAACGGAAACACGAGGAGGACTTCTCATAAGGAGGGCTTCAGTGCCGTTTGTTTTCAGTCCGAAAGAGGACCTCGGCACTTCTAAAGCCACGCTCTAACTTTTAAGTGGTTCTTTCATGATCACTTGTCCCAGGGTGGATATTTTAATTTTTCCTTTGTTTTTGAATCCATCAGAACGAAGAAAGAAAGACATCCTGCAAGCTAACTCTCTGTGATTGTGACTGAAATTCTTTAAGTGGGGAGAAAGCATTTTGCTGATACTAAGTATTAAACACCAAGTCCGAAGTCTAGAGCAGTATTAACTTGTTTAAGAAAGCAATGTTTTCTCAAATATGTATAAAATAGGCCATGTTGTTAGGATAATTGTTATTCTTAGTTACTATGAATGCCATTAAGAATTTTTAAGCATCCAAAAAAAAAAAAACCCAGAAAAATTCTTTTCTGAGCTTGGATATGGGAGACAGAACATAGTGGGGGGTGGGGGAGAAGAAGAGGACAGGGCTGAAACAGTCATCTCTTTGAGATCTACCAAGAGAAATCTTGATGGGCTACTGAGTGAGGATCCCAGCTTCACACCGTTCTGTGTGTCGTTTAGTGCACCCTTTCATTTGTGAATAGGATCTGTATCAAAACCCTAGTGTGACCACGACAATTGGGTAATCACACACAAGGCATCTTTGCTAATGGAGAGATTCTGTAAATATGTTTCTAGTGAATGCAGAGATAACAGTCCCAGTGAGAGGGTCAGGTGCCACAAATCATAGACTCCTCTGCCAAGGGTTGCCAGCCGTCTGAGGTTTGGAGGGACGTTAACTGCCTCTGCATTCTCAGAATACTCTCCTCCGTTTGTGATTTCTCTGACTTGACCCTACTTCTGTCATTAAAAAGCTGGCAGGCACAGTCAAGGGCAAGCAGGTTGGCTACCTACCCTTCTGGCAGCTCTCCAATAGTCCCATTTAGCTGCCAGGAGACAGAAAGAGGAGTGAATCACTCCTGTCATCCTGAAGTAGCATCTAGAACAGACCAGGAAACATCCATGCGGTTTGCAGGTCCACCATAGCTCCTGTTTACATCTTCCACCTCAAATTCGGAACAGACCCCTGGGATATTTCTTGGAAAGAGCCAGAAGGAAAAAGACAAGAAGTGACTTAGATAAAGAAATTCTCCAGCAGTTCCTTGGGCGAGGAAGTTGTGTTCTACTAGACAGCCTTAGTTTTGAAAAGTACCACAAAAGCAGGATTCTCATTACTGATAGAGGCAAAATCCAGGAAGTCCCCTCATTAGATAGTGGTGAATACCGAAGAGGAAATCAAGTACTGTCAGTGAAATTTGGAGGAGTGTTATTTCATGTCAGTGGAACACATTTCTGACTTAGAGCATTTGCTTTAATAAAGGTTTTTCCCCCTACTAAATCCATTAGAGATTAGGCATTGAACTTTCAGAGAAACGTGAAAATGGGATTATATCGAAAGTTTTTTTTTTCCTACCTCAGGTTGAAATAAGCTACTATTTGGCACTCCAGGGGCATTGTAAAATCAAAATACATTTAATCTCAAATATCAGTGTTCTCTGTGTGAGGCTACAACATGTAGGAGTGTGTCGTGAAGGAGTTCTACATGGGAAATAAGAATGTGAAGGTCCTCTTGGTTGGGAAGATAGGCCCCCTTTCTCATAATCTCATTTTGGAAGTAGTTTGGGGACCTAAAATGAGCTATTATCACCAAAGGTAAAGCCATAACTTGCTAGTAGGTACCAAGAAAATCCCATGGGCTTCACTGAATTTTTTTCCCCCAGGGAACTTGCCTGCATGAGAAGGCTTGTAAGACTTTTGAACAGAAAAGAAAGGTACAATTCATTGAAGTGTGAGTGTTCGGGAGAGCTAGCAAAATGTATTCTTTAAATAATATTTTCTAATATTCTAAGGGGGTCTCTAGATGTAAAATGTAAAAAACTCCAAATTTAATTTTCCAAAATTATACTACCATATTAGTATATTCTTAAAGAACAGAGATAGACATTAGTCAGCTACATTACCAAAGGAGGAAAATATTTTAAAACCAGATGACAGATTTATGCTTTATAACTTAAACAATACTGAATGATGAATAGTCTTCCATGTTCATTAAGCAGAAAGAAGAGAGAATGTCTGTAAAAGTGAATAAAAGAGATTTATTGAACAAATATGCCTAACCTCCATTTTATAAGCTGATAATACAAATTATTGTTGGCTCTTGCTCCAAGAGCCATCTTAATGTAACAAATTCATCTTAGAGCCTTAGTAAAGCTGAAGTCCCTTTGGAACTTTGTGAGGAAACTTCAAATGGCCCCACCCAAGTTGAAGACATTTTTTTTCTTGCTTACTAAATTATAAAGTTGAATTTTTTGCTCAAGAACATTTTCCAGCTTGACTTACACTTTCTGACAAGTTTTTCTTTCAATATGACAGAGAGCAAAAGGCAAGCAGGAAACTGTAAGTCTATTATGACTTAGGTGGTCACATTCCATATCCATAAGTTCAAAGTAGTAAAACAAGCAGGTGTTTTTTTCTTTATGTGCCTCCTGTTTATACCTTGCATAGTGCCTTATACACAGCGTTTTCTGAACAAACACTTTTTAGCTCAGTTTGTGAAATATCCTTATTATTTCTATTGTAATTCTTATTCGTATCTTCTTCCTCCTCTTCTTCCTCCTCTCCTTTTTTCTTTGAGGCAGGGTCTCACTATGTAGCCCTGGCTGTCCTGGAACTCATTATATAGGCCAGGCACACCTCAAACTCACAGAGATCCGCCTGCCTCTGCCTCTGCTGGGACTAAAGGTGTTACTCACTATGCTTGGCTATGATATATTCTTCTTTTAATGCTAATGAAACAGAGTTCTAGGTAGTTTCGATAACAAACAAACATTTGAAAATGACAGGGAAAAAGGCCCATCCTTTGCCAATTGGTAAGAGAGAATTCTGGTATTTTCCTATTCGAATCGTGACAGTGTTATTATTATTACATTATTTTGTTCGAAACAAACATGAAATCCCAGATGCAACACACAGTGAATTTAAAGAAGAAACAACTTTGAAAACCGTAATCTTTCGCTACATTTCAGATGTAAACCCACTAGAGAACATCCATCATCCAAGACTTTACCATCCTAAAGACGGCCTTCTTCTGAAGTGATAACAGAACTAAACACTATTGCTCCTTATGCAATAGAGTTGGAAACTGATTGGCATGGCCTCCCAAAAAAGAATTTAAAAACTAGTGCTGATTGTTAATCATAATCCCACATAGGGCTGATTTAGGAAGGCGGCCCATCGAGGACCACTGAACTGTGTTCCTAACTTCCGTCCCTCAGTGAGTGCTCCTCACATTTTAGTGTGTAGCTTGGGGGCACACTGGAGTCAGTGGAGTGAATATGGTTGGTGGGTGGGATCGTGAGTGCAGAAGTGGTCTTAAGCCTGAGATACTCTGTGCCTTCTCTCAGCCCAGTGAGCCACTGGATGGCCTCTTCTTTATTAGAGGACCTGGCTCAAGATTATTTACAGTTTTGAAGGGTGAAAATGAGGGTATCATTCCATGTCACCGTTTATTGATGAACATGAGAGTGTCATTTCAAGTGGGAAATATGTTTATGTACCGAGGAAATCCCTAGCTTCCCTGGGCAATCTCTCATAGCAGACATTTGTATCTAGGCAGTGTTTATTGATCAAGATGGGCAAGACTGAATAGAGTCAAAGTAATAGTGACAGCATCCCAGAAACAGGAGATCTTATATTTGCATTCCACTCCTCTAAACCAGAGAGTCCTCTTTTAAAGCACTCACTCAGTGTAAAGGTAATGTTGATATCTAAATATGTGTTTACAGCCTTCATGGATTTCAAGTGGTCTTTCAAGCTGTATTCCTAGTAAGAAATGGAAATGGTGGTACATTTCTGTAATCTCAGCACTTGGGAGGCTGAGGAAGGAGGGCTAGGAGTTCAAGGTCAACCTCAGCTACATAATGAGCTCAAAGCCCTGTCTAAAACAAAACAAAACAAAACATATAAAATTTAAAAAATAAGGGAAATCTCTTTATTAATGTCTAGAACAAATAGTGGCCCATTCTTTACGCAAGAATTCACTCTTCATTCACATGAAGGTAAGATGTTGGTATTTCAAACCTGATATCAAAGTCAATTCACTACCATGAGAGAATGATTTAAAAATTCTTCTTGGGGAAGGAGTTGATAGAAGCTCAGACCAAATTGCTTCAAATATCCTGTTGTCAACATATATCCGGTTTAGAGATTATAATGGAAAAACTAGGGATAGGATACCAAGACAAAGGTGCTGAGATAAAGTACAGTAGTCTATTTATTGATTCATTTATTCAGTCAGCAAACATTCATTGAGTGCTCACCCTAGGCAAAGCACTAACCTTGGAGAGAAAGGTAGGTCTTTGATCTCAAAGACACTGTGTGGGAGAAGATGGATTTTTTCTTTTTTAGACAGATAATTACAGTTCAGTGCAAAAGGGAGTCACTCAAAGTCCAAAATGCAGTAGTACCTCAGGGGAAGATGTACCTTTGTCTGGCAGGAGGAGGAAAAGTGATGTTTGAGCTCACTCCTAAAGGAAGTAAAAGGTATTCTAGGTAGAGGAAACAGTATTCACAAAGCCCAGAGGTGATGGGGAAGGCTGCCATTGCCAGAGAATCATACCTGCTTTGTATTACTGGAGCATAAACTGTAAAGAGAATGTTGGAAGAAAAACTGAGGGGTGGGTCCAAGTTAAAAGTTAAAGACCTTAAAGAAGTTAATATTTTATCTTGTGTACCAGACCAAAAAGCCATTGTAAACATCTGAACATAGAAGCATGTTCTAGGAAAGCCATGCTGTCCGAAGAATAGAAAATACAGATTGAAAATAAGAGCCGGTGAGTAACAGTAGTTTTCACGGCTGCTGTTGTGGTGTAAGGGTGCTAAAGAGAAATAAACTTCATTAAACAGATCTGCTCCCTGGAAGCATGGCAAGAATGAAAGCAAAAAGATATTTTCTAGAGAAATAGTCTTTCTTTTTAAAAAGAAAATGACTTCTCACACATTGCAGTGGTTAATTTTGGTGTGACCTGTATGTACCTTTAAAATGCATGCATTGTTTTACTTAGGTGATTGGCAAGTAACTGAGTGGAAGTTTCTATTACTGTAGTGGAAGACGGTATAGTTGCAGAAAGAATGCTACCCGAAGCCAACTGACTTGCCTGCCCATCTCATGTTTTAGTCTTTGAAGGACTTTGAGGAAGTTGCTGTATCTCCCTGAGCCATCCTGTCCCTCTTTGTAAGGTGAAGAGCACAGTGTAAAGGACCCTGGACTCACAACTTTTTCACTCACTAATCGCTCCTAATGTTTATTTCTTACTTCATCTTGGTACTTTTTATTTACTTAATTTTTTTTTTCAGTTTGAAGAGGAATAGAAGTATTTCAGAGATAACCCCCCCACACACCAGGGTGTCATTTAAGCACAATTTCACTTTTGTTTCTCCACACTTAACTCGCTTAGCCTTCTCCCAGGCAGGGGTGAGGATGCTGGTTGTTTGGAAGCATCAGGCTTACTGCTCACATGAATCACATTGTATCTTCAGATGAGCCAAAAGAGGAGTACTATTTAATCGCTTTCTGGGCCTACTCAGCTAAATGGACAATTTAAGCTCTAATATTTCGGTTATGGATTTTCCTGTCCAAAATGATTCTGTTTGACTCAGGTCAAATAATTGCATGGTCTTAGTAAAGGTAGTGTTGTAAAAAACTGAGGTCCTTGAAATGACTGAAAGTGTGCTGCTTCTAACAACAGCTCCTTATTTAAACTTGTGTATTTCTTTGGAAACTTCCTGTTACTTAATGCTTTTTCCTTCCCACTTAAAGGCTGTTTACTCTATTCATGTATCTTCTAGTGCTCCTGGAGCTTCGTGGGGTTTGTACCTACAAAACATCCCAGCAGAACCATTAGTAGGCTGCAAAGACATGCAGGGGTCCCAGGGCAAATCAAAATGTTTTTTAATGTATGACATGTTTGAAGTTGGTGAAAATTCACGACTTCTCTCCATCAGGCCTGTCTCAGATTAAGTCACCAGACAAAGGTGAGTGCAAAGAATTTCATTTAATATTTTAAAATTCTGGAATCCTTCCCATTGCAAAGAATCCATGCAAGTTTCATGGATTTGTTTTTGGCTCTGTTCTGTTTAGTAGTCTGATTAAAAAGTAAAAGAAAATTAGCAGTTCACAGTTGCCTTTCAGAACTTCCTGCTTATACCATTGCCCAGATATACAACTTTTAAAGAGAAATTGAAATGTGGTTTGAGAATATAGTCACCAAATGTAAATATGCAAAATATGTGTGAAAGACCACATGAGTACCATTAACAATTATTACTTCTTATGGCATAGAAATAGCTTCAAATGTATCTTTCAAAACGGAAAATAAAATATTCAAGAAAATCCTAGGAAATAAAAGAACCCAAAAGGCTGCAGATATAGTGATCAGCTGTTATTAAGTAAAAATCCATTGAAAGCCAAATAAAAGGCATTGTGTAGTGTGTCCCGGCTAAAGCTGAGAACACAAGAGCATCGCAGTTAATTAGAACCAATCAACGGGATGCTTTGCGACACCTTTCACACGAGTACACCATCTGATCTTCACGGTCCTCATTTCCCACAGTGTTGTTGCAGAAAGGACAGGAAGGACATATTTGACTCACTACACTCGGTGACACATTTTAATTTCTCTTCCCTCTCATTCTTTTTAAGTAACTGTTTTGGAAATAAGATCTTGAAAAACAAAAATCCTCTAATGTTGTTTTAGGTGTGCTTTCAGAAAATCTGACTCAAAGTTTTGTTTTAATTTTATTCATATTTGAGCATGAGAAAAATACTGATTTTAAAAATAAAGTTTAGATTATGAATTTGAATTATTATATGAGTTTTGTATGACTATTGTAGTTGTGGGGAAAAAACCCTGAGCCTATCCTGAGCCACTCAATACAGGGGTATTATGAATGATTATTATATTGCAAGTAATTATCACATTACATCTATTCTCATATTAACACGGTACTGAACTAAGTTAACTACATAGTATCGACACTATGTATCTTAAGGGAAGATACAGGACTTAACACTACCCTGTTTTCACAACTTCTTGAGTGCTTGCTTTTACCCAGAAAAACTTAGCTTTAGGTTGATTTCTTATTCTCAGGAAAAACATTGCTAAGGAAAAATACTGCTTTTATCCTATTTTCATGAAGTTCACAGTGTGTTTCTTGTAAGCAGTATTTAAAGTTTTGCCATGTATCCTACATAAAAAAAAAAAAAAATCTGGTGGTGGTTTGCTGTTCGTCATCTAACCTGAAAGGCAAACTATTCTGAGCCACTGAGGTGCTTCAGAACATTTTAAAAAATAACCTATGAAAAAATATTCACACGTTTTGACAAGAGTTTCTTGTCAAGGTTTGCCCCCTTTAAAAAGCTAGTTTGTGAACAGCTAGCAGACAGCCTTTTTTGGAGGCATAACCAGCAATAAAACCGGTTGCTCTAAGTGAGATGTCTTGGTTAGAAGTCCATGGTCCAGTCTCCAGTGTTTATAAAGCATGGTTTGTCCTTGCAAATGAGCTGCTCTCAAACTCTTCAGCCATCTCCTGGTAGAAGGAAACATGCTTTGGAGGACAGCTAAGCTGTCTGGCTTTTGTTTATTTATTTATTTTTTTCTGGTCTGCATATTGTCTCCTCTTACTACATACAAGACGTGGCTTTCTCCCTCTTCCTCACCAAACCCATCTCAAAAATAAATAAAATAAACAAACAAATAAACAGGGAAAAGAAAAAGAAAAAGGACTTTGCTAAATATTCCCTTTCGTGAAAACTCATATGCCTGCAGAAAGAAAACAAGTTTTGAGAACCAACCTCTGCCTAGCACTAAACTGTTTCTCCTCTTTGCGCAGATTTACTCTCCAGCTCGGCGAGAGGGTGCATCTGTGACCCTTAGCAAACTTACCCTTCAGATCACCAGCCTCATGACAAATATTTTAGTTTGGATAATCATTTCACAAATAATAACATAAAGGTATGTTGGGATATGATTTCCTTCTCCTATTAAAGACACAGTAACACTTGTATTTAACTCGAGACGGCTGCACTTGTCCTTCAGGGCTGGCTGTAAATGTTAGCTGCTTTCCCAGACAGCCCTTTCTGTAAGTATCAGCCCGAAGTTTGCTCTGTTGCCCACACATTGATTTGTAGGAATTTGGGGTAATTGTGGTCTAAAACATGCATTACGAAAACTCTGCTTACCTTTAAAAAACAGCATTTTTTTTTATTTTGCAATACAATTAAAGCAAACATTTTAAGTAGAAAAGTCATTTGATAAAAATAATTGGTTCAGCCGAAACAGGGCTCACATTCTTCTGCCAGATAATGATTCGTTGCAGCTCTAACCTCAGTGGTATTCATTAGACACAGTTCTCATTCAGCTTAAAGTCCTGGGTGGGTGGGTAGGGGGTGAATTGGTTTAAAAATAATTTTAAAGAAGTAAACAAACGTGGGGGTGGGTGGAATAAAATCTCTATCAGATTGACTTTATGTGATTCGGTTCCTCAAAAATTTTTTCAAGGGGCGGGAATGCCCTCCGCTTTACGTCAGGACAAGAGCGCCTTTTAAACTGGAGAGCTTGAAGAAAAGACCTTTGCTTAACAGATGGTAGGTTAACTGAGCCATAAAAATGACCCAGATTACAATATTAGGAAGACACTGAAGTTTCATAACTTTGGAACTCATGTAATGCTGGTCTTTAATAAATGGCACCTTTGGAAAAATAGTAAAGCTGTTACAAGCAACTTCTGGGACTTGCAAGTCCAGGATCAAATTATTTTATTGTGTTTCTTTGGCTTTCTTAACTTGGGGAATTAGGAAAAAATTATATATTTCAGATTGTCTTCAGGCAGTGGGCCTATGTAGATGGTATGCCATCAAAGCAAAAGCATATAAACAGACTTAAAGCAACTGCATTGTTATGATGACTGTTATTTGATTTTAAAAATAACCAACCTATATGGAATGAATATAAAACAATGCAGATTCTTATCAATATCACAAAATATTCTTTCAATAGTTAAGCAATTAATTTAAAAGCCTCTTGCATGTGATGCATTAATACCCAGTCATGTATCTTGAGACCTATATGCATTTAAATTTTACAGATCAGCAAAGTTTTTAGCTGTATATTGTATCAAGGTGAAGTTAGTCTGCGGCAAGCTAGTTGAGTTCCTTTAACAAAGTTTTGACGTTTAACACTGCTTTTAATAGTGCTGGTTTAGCTGCAAAGCTATTGTTGATCTGCTAATGTTGCAAACATTTTTTATTAAAAGAGCTCAGGATTGAGAACAATACCACAATGCTGATAAATATTCACTTCCTTTACTACTTTTTATCTTACACATTTTTCAATCTCTTTAGAAGCATAATTATGTATTATTTTAAAGGGACGAGTAAATAAATGTACTTAGGATCCAAATTTACTCTAATGGAAGGAAATTCAAAGCCCTCAACAGGAACACGAGTTCCTCACTTGCCTTCACTTGATCTATCTTGTATATAAAGCGAGCTGGCAAAATTAACTATCGAACACTAAGTAAAATGAGAAATCCATGGAGAGAATAGCCAAGAAGGGACAAGGAGGAGTCTCAGGAAATGATATTTTCCCATCAGTGGATCGGCATGCATACATTAAAGGTATAAAAGGCAGCGGGGGGGAAACAAAAGCTCTCCGCCAAGGATCCTGCAAGTCTGAATTAACCAAATGGGGAAAAAAATGAAATCATTCTGCTTAAACCTGCTCACTAATAAAAGGAGAATCGCTTTTGTTAAATATGCTTGGTGTGATTATCAAGCAAAATTTTTTTCTCCCAGACATCTATGAATAAAACATGCAGTTTGAGCATTAGGTAAACAAACAATAAATGGATGAGTTCAGTTGCAACATAACAACATTTTATTTAGAAAACATATATAATCATATTTGTATTGGCAATCCAAATTTAATGACTTCTTTCAGTAAAGGCAAAATGCCTTACAAATAACATCTAATGCATAAGGGTTCCTTATTCTTCGCCCATTTTTTTTTTTCTGTTTTCCCAAAGAAAGAGATTTTAAAGGTCTCTGCTGAACCATACATATAAACTAGAAGAAGTCTGGCAATTTTTCTTTTAAATCAAAATAATTGTAGTTTACATATGCTTCCATATATATATATACACACACACACACACACACACACACACACACACACACACACATACACACACACACACATACACACATACACACACACACACACACACACACACACACACACACACACACACACACATTTCTGGGACAGAAGAAAATGTCTCTAGTCTATGTAGCTTGGCCTGACTGAAATAGGGCTGTAGCTGAATAGCAGTCTTTGGCTTATTAGCCATTTCATTAACACCACATCTGTAAAATATGAATGAGAAGAAACCATTTACAATAAAGAAAGCAAACAACAGAATGAATTTCCTCTGTTGGTGTTTTACAAGACTGTTAGACAGAGAATGGGGGGAAGAACTCTCTTTAGACGATGTCACTTAATTAAGTAAAGCGTCCTAATCAGAGTCCCCTCCAATTGTAATGACTGTAGGGAGTCAAGTACATTTCTGTCTATATTAGAGTATCTAACTGCAATGATTTATTGATATTTATTTTAGAAGTACAACACAAAGGCAATAAAACAGCAGATGCAGGGAGACAGGGAGCGTGCTGTAGCTTTCTGAGGTGCGGCAGGAACGCTTTGAAAACATTCCTAATTTTCTCGCGAGAGGTTTTGCTATTTAAAATCAGGGCACACCTCTCGAGAAAAGTGTTACTTTCCCCGCATTTGATTTTTTTTCCCACGTGTTCACTGCGACGTTTCTTTGTCCGTTGAGTGAATCATTGATTCACTTTCTTCACTGCAAGAATCACTGCAAATGAGTGGATGGGTACCTGCTGTTTTCTGCAGTGACATTACTGGATTGCCATCTACACTGATTTTAGTCTTAAAATACAGCTTCTCTGTATGAGAGAGATTCAGGGAAGGAGAGTAAATATGCTGTATAGGCAGGCAGACATTGGCTGCCCTCCAAGTTGCACACAGCATAAACCTGTTTATCTGCCACATTTCACAAATCTCAAAAACATGTGAATAATCAGGCGAGCAACTGGATAAATGTTTCACACTAGGGAGCCTAACCAATATTCTGATGAGAGGACATGAGGATGCTAAGACATTGGTGCAAATAGACTCGAACTGTAGAAATGGCGCCTAATAAAGTTGATTAGTGGTTCAAAGAAGAAAACAGTCTGTACTAAAATAAATCTGAAGAGTTACCTCAATCCTGTGGGCTTGGTTTGGTATATTTATCTGCAAGCTTCCTGGAGAATGGAATAAAATAAAATATGTACTCTCACCCATATGCCATTTGAATCTTCAGTGCCAATGTGCCTTTGGGCTTTCTTTAGTTGGTTGAGATCATTTATTTCTAAGAACTCAGATCTAAATATTGGAGGACAGTGTTTTCAGACTCAAAGTCACACCAGCACATATGCTTGAAACTGAATTGCCAGGTGGGCTTACAACCTGTCCATTTTGAAGAAGCAACTTTTCTTGGAAAGTTGTGTTCCTTTTTTTTAAACTGCAGAACTTGAATATTTGGGTATTAAATGAACTAGGGAATCTAGGCTTTTACTGTGTTTCTTTGTTTTGCATTAGTTCCTATTCTTTCTTTTTGATTTGCTGATTTTTTTAACCCCCTTTGCTTTATCCCAGTGATCATTGGGCCTGAGCACTCAGTTGCAAAGTAGCAGCTCTCTAATCTAAGATCAGTGGCACTGATCTTCAAAGCTCACCAGGAAAAGCTTAAGGTTATTTATGAATTGTAGGCTTGGTTCACACCCATGAGCTAGACCTGGCTATAACTACAGTGAGATAAATTGTTTCCTTGCTTGACATGCCTATATCTTTTTTTGGTTTTGTTTTTTGAGACAGAGTTTCTCTGTGTAGCCTTGGCTGTCCTAGAATTCAGTCTGTCCACCAGGCTGACTTTGAACTCATAGATACACCTGCCTCTGCTTCCTGAGTGCTGAGATTAAAAGTGTGCACCACTTTTAATCAGTTGTCTTTTAATGAAGACACCAGCTTACTATATGAATGTAGGCTTCTCTACATTTATAAACACAAAATACTCTTCTACACTGAAGAGTCACAATCCACCAAGGCAATTAAATAAACACTGCACTCTCTATGATGTTTTTCATACTGCAGAAAGTAAATTTGCTAAAACTCTCCAACTCTGAAATTTTGTTAAAATACAGGCAAAGACGTCATCATCTTAGCAACAAGTAGGTGACCTGCACCTTGATGTCCCAAACAATATTCTGCTACATTTGAGCTTTTTCATTAAAGCCTTGCCCCCAAGAGAACATATGTTGAGCCCATTGCACTGGCCAGGTGTTTTTTTGTGCCTTGTCATTTTCTCATCTTCCCCCCCCTCTCTTTCTCTCCCTCTCCTCCCTCTTTTGTCTCAAGATACAGGACAAGGATGAACTGAATGGCTCCAGTTATCAGGATGTGAAAGTCTACATCAGAATCAGTCTACTTGGAGCATACTCTTCTTCAGCAAAGCAGGTATTTGCATAAGGTGGAATTGTCTTTTCTTGGTCACTTCTCCCTGACCTTGCAAAATATGACACATTTCTTCCATTATTTTAAGTAAATTGCTTTGGAGTCTTTGCAGGAAACAACAGAGGAACTAAAACATGTTTTTAAAAGATGTGCCCTGGTGAGCTGAGCCATGGTGTGTGCACACCTTTAATCCCAGCACTCAGGAGGCAAGAGGCAGGTGGATCTCTGTGAGTTCGAGGACAGCCTGGGCAACACAAAGAAACCCTGTCTCAAAAAACAAAACAAACCCCCAAACAAACAAAAACCAAAAATACGTGCCCAGGTAAGTAAGAAATGGAAGTATATGGGAATTGAAGGGTGATACTAAAGTTACACAATCTGGTGAAGAGTGTGAAGACTCACCACACAGAGTTTTGTAACCACATGACATTTTACTAAGTTTTCTGCATGTGCTGGGCTGGGGGAAATAGACCCACAAAGTTGAAATCAGTTCTGTGAACCTCAGTTAAGGTTAACCATAGCTGTTTTCTCAGCCATAATGAACCTCTGTTAAATAGAGTTTTTGAAAGTGATGATTCTTTTGAGTCAAACATGATCACCAAACACCACATAACTTAAACACCGAAGGAACTCAAGAAATAATCGCCTGTGTAAGTGAACTTTGCGACTACAAAAACAATATGTAAAGCATCTAAAATAAGAACTATCCCATGTGTTCTCTCATTCCCTCAGGCCCGTTCCTCAATGATGAACATTAGTAATAACCTCTTACATTTTTAAACAGATATCTTTTTCATTCCCATGTAAGCATGTTTTCTTTTAAATAATAAAATTGTACACTACATTGGCTGTTTTAAATCGATTGATTTTTATTCACTTAGCAATGATGTTGTCCATTGCTCCCCATTCTACACAATGAGGTTTACCTCGTTCTTCTAGTAGCTGTGAAGGATGCTATATAAGATGGCATTATGAATAAAAAAGTCATTACCATACTGATGGAAAATTATTTTATTTAATTTTTGCCTCTCAAAATTATGGTTCAGTAAACATGCACACTATGTGTACTTTTATAAGTGTACCAACAGAATTAATTCCTTGAAGTGGAATCACTAGGTAGAAACACATTTGCAATTTTTAAGTGTTATCCCTACACCTTATTGATACAACCAAAGAAGTTGTACCAGATCACCTTTCTCTGGCAGCGTCTGAGGGATCTTAGCAAGAGCTGAGCTGAGATTTGCACACAGGATGCCTCTGTCTGCCCTGCTATTTTTTCAAAGTTAGCTAAACATAGTTCATTGGCTTCTGCGATGACTGATGACAATCTCGTAGAAAGAGAAACATTCATTATAGCCTCCTTGCTAGGGGTGAGCCTCTAGGGCTGTGGGGGGATGCTGCTCTGGGAAGGAGTGGGTGAAGCATTGTAGCTAGGTCTGTCTTACCTAGGCCTTTCACTAGCAACTTCCCTAAGTGTGGGAGCTGTGGAGCAAAACCGGAGCTTCCATGAGGATCCGTGGGAGAAGCTAAATTAGAGCCATGCTGCCCGCCCTCTCCTCTCTCCTTCTTCCTCTGTCTATCTCTGTACAGGTTCTGCTTTAAGGGTGCACTCACGTTTCCCTCCTCCTCCTCGGCTTGAATTCCAAGTGTGTGCTCTTCTCAGTCTCCATGGCTTCATCAGGAAGGAGTTCTCTAGGTTTCCTCTCCACCTTGTCATTCAGCCTCGGTGTATAATTAACCTAGAGGCTTACCTGACATTGACCCAGTCCCTGGATTGAAGGGTTAGCCTTATCCTTGAAACCGCCACTCCTTATTCAGTACTTTCATCTTTATCAGGCCTATTTTCATCTTGAAATATAAACTCAGAAAAGCCCCAATCCGCACCTGAACCTAGCCCCTAAGTTTAAGGGTTATGCCAGTCTTATCGAAGTTATATTTATAGTAGGCCATCTAGTTTGTATTCAGCACTAACATGACAGGCACTACAGTGAAAACTGTGGGTCTCTATCCCTTTGGAGGTTGAACAACCCTTTCACAGGGGTCACCTAAGACCACCAGAAAACACAGATATTTACATCGTGATTCATAACTAGCAAAATCATAGTCATGAAGTGGCAACAAAAATAATTTTATGGTTGGGGTCACCACAACATGAGGAACTGTATTAAAGGGTCACAGCATTGGGAAGATTGAGAACCACTGCTCTAGAAGCTTATTAAATCACATGGAGACAGACAGCAGTAACCAAATAACCAGATGTATGCCACTCTTTGGTAAGTGTTAAAAAATATCCAAATTAAAATTCTATGACCTCTCAATTCTGGAAACATCCTGCAGCTGTACCTGTGCATGAACAAAAGGCAGACTGCTCAATGCAGCATTGTATGTACAGTAAGAGTTAAGGGACCTTTTGTTTATTGACAAGGACAATCTGTCAATTAGGAGATACTCTCCAGAGAATAACACTGAGTGACCCAGGATAAATTTCACATGATGAAAACAAACAATGGGCCGGGTGGCCGGGTGGTGGTGGTGTACACCTTTAATCTCAGCATTCAGAGCCAGAGGCAAGTGAATCTCTGTGAGTTTGCGCCCAGCCTGGTCTACAGAACGAGTTCCAGGACAGTTAAGGCTACACAGAGAAAACATGTCTCAAAACAAAAACAACAACAAAAAAAGTAAACACGGTAACATGTATAATGTATGCTTTCCTCTGTAGAAAAGAAAACTGTGAAATAATGTGTATTAATGTCTATTCATATTTATAGGCCTATGCTGAAGGTGATTCAGTTAATGATGGGTTGTTATATAAAAAGATATGGTGGCAGTCCCATAGATTACCATGGACTTGGAAAGTTCCTACAGCCTAGACACATCTTATCCATTATAGCACAGTAACTCACATGCTTGTAATCACATTGGTGCAGACAGACCTACTGTGCTGACAGCTATATTGACGTATAATGTGTAATACTGGATATCGTTGATAATGATTATGTACTTGCTATGCTAGACTTTTTTCTCCTTAGTAAGAAAGAGTGTGCTATAAAACAGACTTCCATTTCACTCTAGAAGTGACTTTCATGTTCATCTCATTTTCTGCCTGCCTTAAGGGGACTTGTCAAGTTAGTCAGAGCAAGTACACTTTATATGGTTCACTTGGAGGCAAAATTGCTTAGTGATACATTTCTCAGAAATAATCCCTATCATTAAATGACATGTGACTACATATAAAAACATTGGAAGACCTCCCACGCTCTCCCCCTCCCCCCCAAAAAAAAACACAGTAAGAGCTAGCTTACAGTGGGCATTTGAGTCAGGGGTTAAATGTAACCTTTCAACCTATATCTCTTTGTGTTATTTTAATTTTATTATTTTCCTCTTCTAACGTGTGTATATTTTTATTATCATATATTAACTATACATAATAATGGGTTTCATTATGACAGTTTCACTAATGTGTTTTCATGTTTGCTATATTCACTCTCTTTTGGCCCCCCTCCCATTTCCACTGACCGCCTTCCTTCTGTCCCAACTAGTCTGCACCCCACTTCTCTCCTCTCTCTCTCTCTCTCTCTCTCTCTCTCTCTCTCTCTCTCTCTCTCTTTCTTTCTCTCTCCCCACCCCCATATGTTTCATTCTGGTTGCTAACAGGATCATTGGTGAGGGGAACATGAGCAGCTTACTGTGGCTACATCACTGAAGAAAATGTATCCCCCTCCTCAGAAACCAGTAACTGCTTATGAATCCTGAGGGAAATTGTTGGCTGCTTAAGAATCCTCAGGGAGGGGCAGGCCATTTTAGTTTTTCAACCACTTGAATGTTATCTATAAAAAGCATCATATTAAATATTGTTAAATTTTAAAATCAAATCCCTCCTTCACAGACTGTTTCCTGAGGCATTTGGAAGTGCTTGGCTACATTAACATGGGATACAGAATTTGAATGGATGAAGAAGCTCTAAGCAGAAGACAGACAAGCCCTGGATTTTTTTTTAAAGATTTATTTATTTATTAATGTATATAGTGTAATGTCTGCCTGTAAGTCTACAGGCCAGAAGAGGGTGCCAGATCTCATTACAGATGGTTGTGAGCCACCATGTGGTTGCTGGGAATTGAACTCAGAACCTCTGGAAGAGCAGTCAGTGCTCTTAACCTCTGAGCCATCTCTCCAGCCCCAAGCCCTGGATTTCCTTACTTATCCATAAACCCATTGTCTGTTTTGAGCAGGTCTAGGGGAAAGAATACTATACAAAGTTCTCAAAGTGGCTATTTCTCGTGAGCAGGGCACATCTTAAGACAGGAGAAGAGTGTTAGGAGGCGAGCTCAGCCTTCATTCTAAGTGACTCCCTCAGGATCCCCATGTGGACTCATGATTTGCCCATGCCTTGAGCTAACCTGTTGAAGCTCCCAAGATGAACCATGTGAATGTTCTCTTCTTCAAGCTTTAAATAAAAGTCTTACGCTGAGTTGCAGAGAAGAGGAATTAGCTACCTTACCACCAAGACGCTGCTCTTCTCAATAACAATGTGCTCCACAAATTTCTCAGAACATCACATTAAGGTGATTTGGGGAGAGGTATTGGGATGAAATTAGATCTGGAGAATTCTTTGGACTCTTCCATGAACTGAAATTAGGATATTTTACAAGAAGATCATACAGAATTTTAAAAAAAAATGGGAAAAAGATGCTGATGACTTCATGATTGTAAATGACATTGTCAAATGAATGTGAAAATTCAAACTCGTCACACAAGTCACACAAGGACACAAATGAGGAAAACGCCAGGTCCCTGTCTGTGTCTGCATTGGGTCTCCTCACTGCTACTCTCCTGGCTTTTCAGCTTCCCTGCCCTGCCCCAGCACTCTACCTAACAGATAGGCTTGGTTTTCTAGGACACTAGTGTGGATGGCTGGGGGGATGGAGGTCAGTGATCATAAAGATGATGACTCCTGTTTCCTTCCTTGCGCTCACCCCACCGAATGCCACCACCACCTCTCACAAACGTGTGTTTCCCAGTCGTATGAGAACTTCAGATGTGATAAAATGTCCATGGAGCTTATCCAGCCCACATCTCGTGTTGGTTTCTTTTCAGGAAAACTAGTGGTACATTGTTTTATTTTTATGAGCTTACCGTGTAAATGCGAGACTGTTAAGTGAGTTATTGCCAGCAATCAGGACCATTTGTTACATAACATCAGTAAGAGGGACTCAGGTGAGAAACAACTCTGATTGTAGGTGTTTAGTCCCAATGTACATCAGTTGTAACTCCTTAAATGTATTTCTTCTAGCAGCTAATTTGAAATACTTTATCAGTGAAAGTCTTAGCACAACAGTTATACAAACATACATAGAAAAACATGAGGAAATTAAATCAGACTTATAATGTAAACCTTAACAAAATGATGGCTTAATTTGTACTCACTTTGTAATTTTAACTAAATATTGTGGTAAGTAGTTCTTACTTAAATCCTAAGTATATGGGCATTTATTATACACAATATGAAAATACTTCAAGAGGCTTGTGATTAACGCTGTGGTATTCAAGCATTAGTTTACAGCGACTTTCAATCAAAGACAAAAGGTTCAAGCAGATGATGAAACACGTTAAAAAGATGTATGTGTACACCCAAGGACTTAATTCAGACCTGCTCACAGTAACTCAGTTCGAGTTTTTATCCACAACAAGTATCCCTGGAGCTTGACACAGGACTATTCTTAGGGCAGAGTGGCCAGACAAAGTACAAGATTACCTAGTTAACTTTCATTTCAGATCAGCAATGAATATTTTTCTTATAAAATTATATTCCAGACATTGAGTACAGTATGCTATCCCCAAAGGGCAGTTATTAGAAAATCAACTATCACTGAACACCTTGCATGATTGTTCTTTTCTAGACATGGCAACTGTACCCTAAGGGTTCTGAAGAGTTCTTACCTATCTCCTTCCCTGACTTCCATAGCTTAACTTGAGGTCTCCCAATCATGCAGCCATTCACTTGAACATGTATGTGCTCGTTTTTTTAAAGGATGATGCCTGAAAGACTGGAAACCCCCAAATCCAAATGTCAGTCAAGCATGGTGATCCGACTTATATTATATACTGATTGCTATGTTTTGCATGCAGTTTGTTCCCCAGTGATCACATGGTGGAAGCCCATTCTTCACTGCCGCCAGGGAAGGGTGGTGGGGTCTTTAAGAAGTAGGACCTCATGAGAGGCTGTTAGGTCATTGACTGTATTATTGCTTAGATGGGATTATGACAGTTCTTATGGACTCTGGGTTAATTCTAGTGAGAGTGAGTTATTGTAAGAGCAAGACCAACCTCTGAGCTCTTAAATTGCTCTATAACTTCCTATCCTAGGGTACCATCTCCTTTCTTCAGAAGTGGTCTCACTATTTTGGTACTGACTTCCAAGGGGACCTCACTAGAGCTGAGCTGAAGCCAGAGCCATGGTGTGTTTGACAGTGCTCCTGGGAAGAAGCGAACAAACATATTACCTCCCATCCCCAGATAGGGAACCAGCACAGACCAAAGTAAGGATATTATCAAAGTCCAATTGGTGAACCAGGGTGTTTTATTGGGATTACTTACAGAGGCAGAAATAACTCAAAGACAGCTGTATCACCAAAGTCTACCCCAGCACGGGTGTAAGATCATGAAAATTGGAATCCTGGAGGACACTGCACAACCTTAGACAGTTGTGAGATTGGAGATTGGAGAGTGTTCTTTACAGGTAGTTAAATTGGTCTGAGCCTCTTCCATCCAGCTTAGCTGGACTCTGCTTCTTCCAGACATCTCAGCTTCTCTAAGTGTCTCTCAGCAGCCCTTACTGCTTATATGTGTTTGGCAGAGGGAGGAATCTAGTGAATCTGGTCACTTTTAGGGATTTCCTGGAGCTTTTGAGTTGTTTACTTCCTGAACTTCATGACTTTGATGCATGACAGTGCATATCATCTTCCCTTAGAACATACTATGTCTTCGTGAGCTTCCCTCCAAGATGGAAGTTGGCTGCAGAGGAACTCACTGTGCTCTGGAGTCTTTAGAACTATGAGCTTAATAAACCTCCTTTCTTTAAAAACGTACCCAGCTTTGGACATTTCAATATAGAAACAAAACAGAAGGTGACATATTCCCCCACTCCCTTCTACTTATGCTTGTTTCCTCTTGAGAATTTTGTTCATGTTTTCAAATAAAAATGTAAACATCAGTAAATGGAGAGAGGCTGCCATGTCACTAGTTGTGGTGCCAAGAAGACATTTTCTTTGTTTTTATTTCTCTCCTTGAATTTGAATGCAGTGCTAATTCTTTGAAAGCATGTTCTTAATGTTTGGTACCACTTTTCAAAGAGCACGCAGCTGTGACGTGAATGAGGAGAACCCTTCTCAGCTTAAGTCTGCTCTCATGGGTTGGTCTTTTAGAGCTTTGATGAAGTTGGGTTCTCTAAGGTTTGGTTTACTATTTTCTAAGTGAGGTCAACTGAGAGCACTACAAGAGTTCAGTAACCAAAGAAATGGAATATCACTGGTAGACTAGGAAACAAAACACATAGAATTGGCAGATTTGAGAGTGATTTACTTCAACTAGCTGTGAGATCCCATGCAGACCATTTACCCCTCATGATGCCTGGTTTTCTTTTCAATAAAACAGGGATGTTGCCAGGTGGTGGGGGCACACACCTTTAATTCCAGCACTCAGGGAGGCAGAGGCAGGCAGATTTCTGTGAGTTCAAGGCCAGCCTGGTCTGCAGAGTGAGTTCCAGGACAGCCAGAGCTACACAGAGAAATCCTATCTTGAAAAAACAACCAAACAAAAAAATCAAACAGGGATATTACAGTAACTATACAGCAAGAAAGCACATGTAGAAATAATTTATAAACTTCAAGTCCTATCTAGATGTTAGTAGTGTTTGTTGATGATGATGAGGGAGATCATAGTCAAGACAAAAAATTGCAGGTAGTCACACACACCCATATATATATATGTATGTATATATGTATGTAATTTATGTAAATATTATTATATACTGCAGTGCTAGAAATTGAATTTCTGGCCTCATGCACACTAAGAAAATGCTCTGCTATTGATCTGCATCTCCAATCCCCAGGAGAGAGTTTAGAGGGTTTTTTTTTTTTATTTAGTGTGTATGTGTAGTTGTGCATTTGGGAACACACATTTTTTGATAATGTCTATATACTCCGCTTTATTGATACTTCATGCTTTACTGGACTATTTTTCCATATTCAGGCACCTGCATGTTTACACATCTTTGTTCACACTGTTTTGCTATACTCAGTCGGTAACAATGGGATCATTGTAAATGTTTTAAAGAGGAATAAGAAAGCTACTTTCACATTAAGAATTAGAAGTGTTATTTGTTATTTTTTCATCAACAGATTAACTTCTCAGTCCCATTGATATCACTACAAAAGGAATGGGTTAATGAATCTCACGGACAGTTTGATAGTTTGTTAGTATTAGTGTCTTCTTTATCTTAAACACATCAACCTGGTGATTGTTTATTGTATTTATACGCTAATTGAGCAATAGATCAAATTTGTGTGCTTCAAAATTTAGTCCAAGGAAGGCATACTGATAGAAGCATACATGTTGAGGATTAACGAGGCACAGACTAGGTTTATTAAATCTACCTCATGGATGAAGCACCTGGGCAACTACACTTAAAGGCTGAAGACCAAAGGATATTCTTCTACAGACTTAGAAGGGGAGCAGACGAGTGGCGACCAAGTGAGGCATGCAGTCTTTACTGAGGCCAAATGTAGTGAACAATCTGTGGTCTGCTCACGTTCATGAAGGTCTGTGTTGTAATGTATTCCTTCTCTCTTTCAGAGCATTGGAGCAGCTCTCGGAGAGGTACTGCAGCCTCTGGTTTCTAGCTTCTGTCCCCATGTCCTTTTGACTCGACATTGCTATGTCTCCTTCCTGCCCCCTAGCCCCGCCTCGGGCCCCAGACTCAACCTACCCTTAATCATAGAGGGTGGTGACCCACACTGGCTTGAAGAACTTATTGAGTCTCTTGTAGTCTGTAAGCCTGGAGTTGTGTTGTGAACCCACAGGATCCACTCATGACAAACTTCTCGGAAAATCACGGACCACCTGTTGATACGCAGCACCCACAGGTCTCCAGCTATTACCTCATGCTGTGGCTGCCTGACAAGTGTCCACGCTCTCTGACCCCGTAAGAAAGCCCATCTGAGCCCAGCAATAATTCCACCTCTGTTTTATTCCTACTGAAGAGAAAAATAACTTTGATGGCAGCAACAAATGTTTTACTTATTAACCTTTCCGCTCCTGTCCCTGATACAAATAAACTAATATTCAGTCTATCCTGCACAGGCCTAAGGCAGAGGGAAGAACAAAACCCTGTCATCATCCCTGTGTGGGGTGGAGGATGGATGTGGGCAGGGGATGTCCGGGAGTGATGTTTGTCCTCCTACTGCAAAGGAAGCAGCTACTACAAGAGTATTAAAAAAAATAGAGAGAGAGAGCATGGACGTCATGTTTGGGCAGAAGGTCCACCTCACTGCCTGGTTTCCTGTTCTTCCTGAGGATGCCCAATCTATCTCTGCTTTGCTGTTTTCCAGCCACGGGATGAGCACATGTTAACCTGAAAGAATTCCTAGTAGTTTCCCTCCCCTGTTAACTCCATGTTACCCTGAACCTGTGATCTCAGGAGCAATTTTCTGGTTATCTGGAGATGGCTGTTATTGATTATAGCTCCCCCACCGCTGACTGACTGAGAGTTAATTATCATCAAATACCTCTCTGTCCCGGGGTGAGCTATGCCAGGTGTTTGGTGAATAACACTAATGTAATTGATTTTGCTGTTTAATTTCTCACAGTCATCAGCTAGTAAAAACCATGGATTGATGCTTAATTTTTTTATATAAGGCTTTTGACCTATTTTATTTAGTCTTTAAATATTTGTTTATTATATGTGTGTGTACATGTTTACATGTACATGATGGAGAGCAAATGCCCTGGTGCGCACGTGGAGGTCAGAGGACAGCTTGGTGGAGTTCGTTCTCTCCTTCCATCTTTAGGTGGGTTCCAGGGGTCACACTTGGAACTCATGTTGTCAGGCTTGCATAGAGAGTTTCTTTGCCTGCAGACCCATCTCATTGGCCCCTCTATTAGGTGTAAACTATTTGCAAATTTTATTTTATTACTTAGGTTCCTGGGCACAAATCACATAACCATGCCCTTTGCCCATTGGGGTATTAATGGTGTTCAAATGTTTATTTCAATACATTTCCACATGCTTGGAGAAGGTTAACTCTAAGTTTTATCTGTGCTTTGCTTTTATTGTTAATTAGTTGTACTGCTTTGAAAGTAAAAATGTGTGTAAAATATCTGATCATTTTTACTTCACTTCCAATTTCTCCTTTTGGTCCAGTTTTAAGAAAATAGAACCACTTTGAAGAGGGACAGAAAAGCTCTGTTTTTCTTTTAGGATCCCATTCTTTACTCTGAGAATTTACTCTAACATTTCCTGCATCCCAAAGCCTGTGTCTCCTAAGTCTCCTAAGTACAGTATCTTCATGAAGGTTGAATGGTGCTCACTTGGCACTTTGTTCTTCAACTCCATTTATTCTGCATTTAGCTGGTTTTTTGTTTTTGTTTTTGTTTTTTGTTTTTGCGATTCAAAGGGTTTATGATTTGTAAATCATTCACACCCAGTTTCACTTAAGTATTTACTTATTGCTCACACATTCACTCACTCATTCGTTTTCTAGAGGTGGCACACAGACTCGAGGTTAGTACCTAGTGATCTCTGCTCCCTGGTGCTGTGGGATAATGCTTTTGTACACTGGTTTAATAAAATGCCGATTGGCCAGTGGCCAGGCAGGAAGCATAGGCGGGATAAGTGACAAGGAGAATTCTGGGAAGAGGAAGGCTGAGTCAGGGGACACCAGCCTGCGGTCCAGAGAGCACCATGTAATGGCACACAGGTAAAGCCATGGAACATATAGATTAACAGAAATGGGCTGAGTTTAAATGTAAGAGCTAGTCAGTAGTTAGCCTGAGCTAATGGCTGAGCAGTTCTAATTAATATAAGACCCTGTGTGTTTGCTTGGTGGACACAAGTGGGAGAGATTTGTCCCAACCGCTGGCCAGTCGGGACACAAGAAAGCTTCAGCTACACCCTGCTGCTCACCAATGAGTGTGGACAGGATCTATGGCTTATTTATAGCCACAGAATATGATAAAGGTGGCAGGGTGTCCACCTGTGACTGTGTTATGTAATGTAAGAGTCACATGTTGCTGCCTCGGTAAACAGCAACACTGGACGTGCACATAGTGAGCAGCTCAGCAGACTTGGCCGTCCGCCGATAAGGAGCCTGGATTCCTGCTCCTAGAGCCACAGTAAATGAATTCTGCCTAGCTCTTCAGTTAGTTTGGAAGAGATTTCTTTCCCAGTCAAGCCTACAGACTAGAACAGTTGGAGCAACATCTTGCCTGCAATTTTTGCCTGAAGCAGAAGACTTGTCTGGGCCACATCCTGACCTTATGGAGACTGTAAAGGGGTAGTTTTGAACCACTAGGATGTGATCATTTGTCTTTCAGAATTAGAAAACAAACACTCAGTTCTATACACACTAGTTGAGGGCTTGAAGTACCCCAAGAACTTAACAAAATGTTATCTGTACTTTACAGATAAAGAAATCGAGGCTCAGAAATTGAACTCTGCCCCCTTTTTAGAACCATCACAACATATTTTGTTTCAGTGTATTTCATTGTTTCAACTTAAGTATGGTTTGAGATACATCTTCTGAAACACAAATACATTTAAGAAAAATTCTACTTGACATACAGTGGGCATAAGGTGAGAGTTTTTTTTAAGTCCCATATTATTTGTAAAGAAGCTTTCTCTGCTTTTTATTATTATTTTATATATGTATATATATATATTTATATATCTTTTCTATCTCACTGAAATAATATTGGATACACGACAGGAAATTTTCTCACTTGTACTCAAAGCAGTAAATATAAACTCTTAAAAGGGAGAACACTCATGCAGGTCCAAGCCTGGTGTCTTAGCTGGAACCAGAGCCTCTAGGTAAGATTTAGGATGTTCAGGAGTTTGGATTCAGCATTTGTTTTTTCTGGAAGGGAAAGTATTTGATCCATGACCTAACTTTCCCATTATAATCAAGTGTAGGAAAAAAAAAAGGAATTGGAGAGATTTAGAAAAAAATTATTTTGAGTCCTACTTGGTTCAGTGTTTGAGGTGCTGCTGTGGAATAGTGTCTCCAGTACTGTGTCTTCTAATGAGAGGCCTTTCAATTTTGCGTTTATCAGATGCTAATTATTCATACAACGTGATTGAGGATTTGGAATCGGAGATTCACCTGCAATATTTGGAATACCAGTGGAGATCCATATCAACATGGAATTTATACAGCAGCTGGTGCCAGTCACAGCTAATGATGAAATTTCAGTTTAATAAAAAGACCCCCAACTGAGCACAACCATCTTGAAGAAAGTATACTTATCAAACAGCTTTCAATCAGTTCAAGAGAGACACCTTAATTGGGAAGAGGAAGAATTGCACAGCAGTTTGTCACCATGCCAACTTCAGATCAATAGCGTTGCCCTGCTCTTTGGTACACATAGCCTTTCCTTACACCATTAACTGTGTCTACATCCTCTCCATTGAGATGAGATCTTTGTTCAGTTGAGAGTATGTGATCATGCCCCTTCTAATTCACCCATTTCATTATAATACCCACGAATAAAATTTAGACTGTAATCATAAAGGTCAATACTTTTTCTTTTAACTAAAATTATTTCTTGGTACTGGAAATCAGTGCTTGTGACATGTTGTATTTTCAAAAGTTATTTTGTCGAAATAAAGCCACACAAACAACATAACATCGAGTCAATTTCACTCTAAGAAGAGACACGTGAATGATGATAATCTGACTTCTGTAAGATTATGGTGGGGGAGGAATGTATGGAATAATTTATTAACAGGAAGCAAAGAGAAGACGTTTTTGTTCTGGCAGGATGAAGTTGTAATACTAAAGGATAAGACGATGAAATTGTCAAGTTTTATTTTTATTTTTATTTTTTTTTAAGAAGGAAGTAGTCAGCCAGCTTATTTAAGGACGACTGATTTCAGTGTCGCAGTAGAGAACACTACGGGGAGGCTAGACAGGTGGAGGGGGCAAAGACCGCAGCAGAGAAGAAGCCTGATCGGTTAATGCCCAAGAAGGCACCTTCCATAGTGCCCTTGGCTCATCTCAGTTGCAGCCTCCTGCTGCCTCCCTCTTCCCTCCTCTCTCTCTCTCTCTTGTTCCGTTGTCCACCGCTTTCTCTTCTTCCCTCCCCAACTCCTTTCTGTTGCCTGTATTTGTTTATAGAAATATAAACTTAGAAACAGAAATACTGAACTTCTATATAAGATTTATTTTGAAAAACAGTTTCCGCTATTGAAATAGAGTTTGGAAATCACTGAAGTCAACAATTGCACTGGACCAAACAATTGCAATTGCAAGTCCTTTCATGCTTTGATATTGTTAGGATTTCAAGATCCAGGAAAACACAGAAAGGGAGACTGAAAACCTTTTTTTTTTTTTTAAAAAAAACCATACCACAGATATCTAGCGTGGATGAGCTGCAGTTCCCCTGAGAGCAGAGCTGTGAATGAAAGGGCTTCCTGCAGCCCTTCACATATGCAGGACTATGACTAAGAGGTTCATTTTTTCTTTATGATTTACTTATTTTTCTTTTATGCATATGTGTGTTTCTCTTGCATGTATGTCTGTGTACCAGTGGTGTGCAGCGTCCTTGGAAACCAGAAGAAGGTATTGGATACCCTGGAACTTGAGTTACAGATGGTTGTAAGCCGTCACGTAGGTGCTGGGAATTGAACCCTAGTCCTCTGGAAGAGTAGCCAATGCTCTTAACCACTGAGCTGCTTCTCCAGCACACACTCACACCCTTTTCACTTAGGCACTGAATTTACTGCATGATATTTGAGAAGAGGGACAGAATTAACTCCAAATTTTAAAAATCAAAGCCTCTTGCACTAGAGTCTCAAATACTGTGGAGCATATGGGATATCTGAGCTCATTTCCCTCATTTTATATATTCACTCATTATATATTTATTCACTTATATAGTCATTCATAAAAACCACACTTTTTTTATTGGATTTGAGTATGTGCCAGACACCATGTGCTGGGTTTGCAGTATATTATTTCTAGCCATTTACAGATTATGCTTTAGTAGGAGACACAGAAACTGGTCAAATAATCACAGATTTGCAAATAAGAATTCATAACTGTAAGTGTTATTAGGCAAAATAAGAAGGCTCTCTGCAACCCAATGTTGGAGAATATATGAGAACTCTGGGCTGCTTAGAGTAGAAATGACTTTGCTCACGCTGTTGGTTGTACTCTGCAGGGCAGATACTAGACTCAGTCACGTGTTCTCTCAGCGGAAACAGCTGGAATGAGAAAGCTGAAGGACTAATTGCAATGCCTCTGAAACCCGTGAGCTCCTATCCTTGCCTGCAATGTGGTTGACTGACCGCTAAAAGAGGTTTGCAGGGATAATGAAGATCGTGAGGAAAGAAAAGCAATTCTCGAGTACCTTCAGGAGGACTGCCTGCAGAACTCACCAGGCTGCATCACAGTTCAACTTCTTCACAGCTGTTTGGTTGTTAAGTGGCCGTTTTTCTTCCTATAGAAGACCCAGCTCCAAGTGTATATTAATTCCCATTACAATCTTCTACCAGACTTACTTCTTATTATAGAAGAAACCCCCAATTGAACTATCACTATTAAAATTATTTGTTAAGACAGCTCTAATAAAGCCATCCTCAACCAAAACGGCATAGCTTTCAGCACAGGAGAATAACAGGGGTGTTGAGGTTACTGTCTCTAACAAGACCCTGAAGGGTAGGGTGGAGTGGATCTGGTTAATTAGAGACTCATATATCCTACTTTGGACATCCAACAAACACACAGCCAAGTTAGCATCTCTCACCAGCAATGAGAAACTTTGCCTACATTGATGTCAGCCTCTAGGAAGCAGCTGCCATGATGGAAAGGTGAAGTCCTCTGCAGCATCTAATGGGATGAGTCACAGTGTCCTGTTAATCTAGAGCAGTGGTTCTCAACCTTCCCAATGGCGAGACCCTTTAATACAGCTCCTCATGTTGTTCTGACCCCCAACCATAAAATTACTTTCGTTGCTACTTCATAACTGTCATAAACTGTATTGTTGCTACTGTTATAAACTATATTGTGAATGCTTCTGGAGATAGAGGTTTGGCAAGGGGGTTGCAACCCACAAGTTGAAAATCACTGAGAGCAAACCTAAGTCACAGTCAACATCAGTTTGGAGTGATTTCTTTTCTTTTTTAACACACAGGTATGCATTTTCATTATATCTAGGAATTATTTGTACACATGCACAACACATAAATATTTTCATTGATGTTGTATTTCTTTGTATAGCCAATTTTTCTTCTTCCTCTTTATGCCTCCTCCTTATCTCCCTCCTTGCTTCTTGTATTCCCATTAGCACTTGTGTATCAAATTAACATGTGTTTGTGAGAATATTCAATCCATCTATACATCATTCTGGATAAGGATACATACACACACTCTTATGCAGAAGGTTTGGGAGAGAATTGTTTTTGAAAAAAAAACTCATGATTATACAAATATACTCTTTTCCCTTTTTTTGTTTTTGCTACCAAATGCTTCAGAAGAATGAGCACCTCCTCAAGGTAACTGCTATAATGCTACTTTGTTTTCTATTTCTTCCCTGATGTGTGTATCATGACTTAGTTTTCAGTTTTCTGACATATTAAACAATGCCGTGGTTGACCTTGGGTAAGTGTCCTTGTGTACCAGGGCTTTTATTTTTAATAAGTAGATTTCAAAAGTGTGTGTTCTAGGTCAAAAGCATGTGAATATTTAATTTTAATAAACGTTGTTGGATTTTTTTTTCCAAAAAGGACTATAAAATTGTTGTTTCCATCAGTAAAAAATGAGGGCATCTTTTGCTCCTACACCAAAATGGGTAATCATTACTCTTTTATGATTGTTTGGCTGAGGACCTTAAGCCTCATTGGCACCATATTTTCTGTTTTCTGAGTGACTGATTAGTGAGTTTAAGTGTCTTCTCACAAATTTTTAGGCCTCCTGATTCTGTCTCTGATGTGTGTCCATGTTGTTTATATTTTGAAAGAACTCATATGTTGATTTGTTCTCATTTTTTCTCAATTTCTCCTGTCTTAGTTATTATTTGAAATATGTGTACCTTAATACAGCTTTGCTGTATACCTTCTAGGTTTACTGACTAAATTATGGAGATTCCCCCCCCCCCCCGACACACACATTTTTCAAGGATGTCTATGTATCAACTACAAAATAGCATAGACATATGTCCAAAGTAGTATAGATGTATGTGTATGTCTTTTCTGTTTTCCCATTTGGGTGGGGAGGTTTGAAGTCAGAGCCTGGCACTTGCTGAGTGCATATTCTACCACCGAGCTACATCTCCATCTCAATTATTTTGTGTCTATACATTTTTAAGCCCCTGAAGTTATTTTGGCATACAAATTCAATTTGATTTTCTATACTCTTATATCCACAAGGCTGCCAACGTAGCTTAGTAGTAGAGAGCTTGTTTAGAATGCACAGGCCCAAGCCGGGCGGTGGTGGTGCATGCCTTTAATCCCACCACTCGAGAGGCAGAGACAGGCGGATCTCTGTGAGTTCGAGGCCAGCCTGGGCTACAGAGTGAGTTCCAGCAAAGGCACAAAGCTACACAGAGAAATCTTGTCTTGAGAAAAACAAACAAACAAAAAAAGAATGCACAGGCCCTGGGTTCTGGAAAAGAAGTACCACAAACAAACCGAACTCCTTATTTTCACCCACTGAGTTGAATAGTCACCCTTATCACATACTGAATTCTCATAGATACTGCTGGTATTTATTTCTGGGTTCTACATCCTGCTCCATTGACTTGATGTCCACTCTTCTGCAGATGCCTGATTGGATATTAGAATTTTTATGATATCTTCTGAGGTTTGACAAAAGCCTATCCCTCCTAGCTTCTCTTTCTAAAAATGATTTTGCCAAGCCTTTCTTTAGAACAAGTTGTCCCAGTGTAAACAGAAGTGTGGGGATGGAGCGTGAGGAGCCAGTGTATGACCAGCCTCATTCTTTCTGTCTTGAGAATGACAGAAGCACCTGGTGGGAAGCTACTTCTGTGGGCTTGCGTTCGTGCAGAAGCTCAGCAGAGCTACCCCAGTAACCCATGTCTGTGTTATTGGCAGCAATGAGGTCTGCCTGTCTTAAGTCAGAAGTTGTGGGGTGATTTGCAACGTCAGTATCATCTAGCTCATTAATTGTTGGGAGGTGTGAGTTGGATAATCCAGGTACAAACATGTACCAGAGTCAGGACTCTGTTAGCCAAGGTCACTAAAACATTAGTAAGTCACAGCAGTGAAGTGACATGTCTTGAGATAGAGAATACTTCTCATTATGTAGTTTAATTTCGGGTGGCTGAGGAAATAGGACTTCTAGAAGATATATCTTCCCTGCCTGCTCATCACGGCACTGCACTATATTTGAAAGTATCAATGCCTGTAAAAAAAGCAATCATTTCACACTGAGGAGAGCCAGTTAAAACAAGGAGACTTTAGGGGGGCTGTTGTGTAGCCAAGGCTGGCTTCAAACTCATGATTCTTCAGTCTCTGCTTCCTGAAGGCTGGGATTAATGGTGTGCATCACCATGCTGGACATAAACATTTTTGAAAATTCTATTTGCGTGTGTGTGTGTGTGTGTGTGTGTGTGTGTGTGTGTGTGTGTGTGTGTGTGTGCCACAGTAGTATATGTGTGGAGGTCAGAGAGTAATGTGATTGGCAACTGGTTCTCTCCTTCTACCCATTGGGTCCTAAGGCTCAAACTTGGATAGTGAAACTTGGTGGCAGGTGTCTTTACCCACTGATCAATCTTACCACCCCAGGATGATGATTTATGGCCAAACCTGGGCCATAGGAGTATCTCACTTTGATCACAGCATTTGAAAATACTGTCTTTCCTGCACACACTTCTTTCTGGCTTCTCTTGAAAAAATTAAAATTCTACAAGTCTAAACTCCCATTTCCCCAAGAGCTTAATTTCTGGAACTGTGACTGTGTAGGATGGATCACTAAAGAACTGCCAGCCCTTCACCATCCATCCTTATTTCCCCCTGGTATACCAGCCTAAATGCATTTCTAGTTGGTCCAAGGGTGCATGAGAATACATAGGTATTCATAGTGAGTGAAAACTTGATTACTCCTTTAACAGTAGGGTATCATAAACTCTAGATGCAAAAATGATAAAGCACTATGGTGGAGGAATACTGAGGCTAGGCCATGTAGTATCTTTGTAATAGAACCAGCTTGTGGAGAAAAAGATAATTCTCTTTCTGCAGAAAGCAATAAAAATAGGTCTTTGATACCTCAGCAGCAATTTTCATCATCAAATCAGTTACAGACCACACAGACTAATTAATTCTCCCAGTCCCCTCATAAGGTAAGGATTCCAGAAATATCTTTAGTCAGA